ACTTTTCAAAGAAAACATATTTTGAGTATATACAAATATAGATATACAAAATATAATTTTTATACACTTCAGGTTAATTTCAAGTAGTTATTATTTTCATTTTTTTTTTCAATTCCTATCAACTTGGTCCACTTCAGTGCAATCGCCAATCAGTTTATTTTGGCGACAATTTCCTTAAAATCTATACTCAGATGCCAATTTAAAATAGCTAAAATGTATTCAAACTCACATAGATAACGAGCGACACTAAATGAATAAATGGAAAACAGACGCCTAGCGCGTAGAGCACACGTCATTGCTTTTTACGCTGTGAAAAATTAAAAACAAGACAAAAAACCAACAAAAACAAACACAAAAGAATATATGTATGTACAAGCATAAGCAAATATGCAAGTATCATTAATAAAAGACTTTTTTCATGTTCTCAACAGACGCAGAAAAAAAATATCTACCTAGCAAAAAAACAATAAATACACAATGTCTCGAATGGCTGTTTGTTTTTATTTTTTTCTTTCCTTCTACTATTACGTTCCCTGATTCTTGGCATATAATGAATACCACAACATAAACAATAGATGAGATATATTTAGACATATGTATATACAAATACATCTACATAGATATATTTATATAAATTGTAGTACATACATAGAGCTGAAGTATGACAGCTTGCAATTAATTTAATGCTTCATTGAGACCAACAGCGTTGATTGGGATTGATTGATTTGATTGAAAGAATAATTACGTTTATTCTAGCTATTTTTGGCACTATATATATATTATGTCCCTCTCTTTCTCTGTCACTCTCTGAATTATTACTGTGCGTAGTTTATTTATAAAAACCAAAAAGTGTTTATGTAATGTGAAAAATTGTGTGACGTTTGGCTTTTTATTTCGATGCTGCTGAACTTGGAACGCGTGGAACGTCCCACAGTTCGCTTTTAAAATAATACCCAGAGATAAGCGCTATTAAATGCCAAGTCTCGGTCTGGCACGAATACTGAATGAATATGCTTCAATACGGCGATACGAGAACACTTGGAATTCACAAGAACAGACCGCAACTCAGCTGTGTCCAGTAGCCAGAGAACACTTCGGAAGTCTATTACGTATTGTTACCCAAGCACATTTGTCGCACAAGCGAGAGTACACGACTTCACGATACACTACACAACAGCAACAACTTGGCCTTCTTTTCATAGATGGCTTAACAACTTAGGAGGCAGTTAAATATTTAGTGACTGACTAGTGAATGTCCTAAGCTCTGCGACCAGCTGATATTCCTATTATTCTATGCTTCTTTTATATACATATACATTACACATACATGAGCGAGCATATACGCATCCGCACGCAGGTCTAAGCACGCGATCTGCTTACAGATTGTGGCTTGGGTTTTACGATGGGAACTTTATTTCTAATGACCATATGTTCTAAACAATTGTTCTTAATAAAGTTTATGTCATAAATATGTATATAGATATTTGCTAAAGCACAGATCTCAAATATTTGCAATACTATTATAATACTTAATCGAAAATCTCTAGATTTTGTGTTATTTAAATAACGCTTAATTATAGGAAATTTATCAATTTTAATTGATCATACAGAAATATAGAGTATCGGAAAAATAATAAGCTCGTTCTGTGAATTCACATACACGTATATAGACGGTCAGACTGTCACGGCTACATCGAGTCAGTTCGTCGTCTTGATCTAGAAAATATTTACTTTATGTCACGCCTCCTTCTGTCCTAGATTAACAAAACCATTAAGCCGTAAAGTCCCCATTTCCAATGAGTTCAGGGTGTAATGAATATATTAATTATGGTAATGTTTTTGGGTCTGTAAGTTTCTAAGTTGTTTATAGCAACGAATACCTAAATAAGCAAGTGTTCGGATAAGACGACTCTATTATAAAACTATTATATTACATTGGAAACCCCATTGAATAAATAAATACTCAATCAGACATTCCAGATGTAGAAACTTTTCAC